TTAAAGATCATATTTTTTTACAATAAACGTTATGCGACAAATACTTGCTGACGCCATCTCAAAATTCCAAAAGATCACGCGACAAATGTTACGCGACAATGTTCCAAAAATGACGTCACTCTTATCCCTAAAACGCTGACGTCCTATGGCGGGAAAAATGCTGACGTCATATGGCGGGAAAAATCTCGCTATATGGGGGGTTTCATCTACTATCGCGCGACCTCTAAAACGTGGACTTTTCTGCCATAGTAGCCTTTCACGCATAATTTTTGTAAAAAGAGGAAAAAATCAAATCATGCATAAAATTAGTCATGCTTAAAATAAATCGTGCGCGTAATAAATTTAGCGTGAAAGACTACTATGACTAAAAAGTTCAAGTTTTAGAATTTAGAGGTTACGCATAACACATCAGATTTTACTCTAAACCATGACAAACGATATATCATATGAAAGCTAATGAAACATAGATTCTGAAAATATAATTTATATTATCAATAATTACATTGTAACCCGACACCGGCTACCACATGCTGTGAGTTCCCCATCTTCCTTTGAGAAAAGATTTAAGACTGGGTATTGCATTAAATTGCTTATTTTTTGTGCCAAATGAAAGATTACAAGTGGTTTTCTTGGATAAGCATAGAATTTTTTATATTATAAAAGGAATTGACACAGTGGTTGGTCAAAGTTTGTGAACAAGAAAGTGTCACGTTTTGATTCATAACTTCCTTAAAATTAGACATTTCAAAAATCTCTATGCTTATCCAAGAAAGCTCTCTTAGAGCAAATACTAGTCGAGTTATCTTTTCTCAACTGTGAAAAACAGGTATTTGGAGAAAATCAGCTTTAAAAGTTGCCATGTCTTAAAAAGCGGAATAGGAAATATTTGGACTGTGCAAGTCATTATTTCATGCATTAAATGAAACAGGGAGTTGTTTAAAACCTTGCTGCTTCAAAACTGACTTCCTCAGCTTCATGAAGAGCCTCTTCCCTTTGTATTGGCAGGAAGGCGTGTCATTCGCGACGTTTCGTTTGCTTCTGGTTGGTATGAAAATCAAATTTTCTTAACCTCTTCTTGTCACGTACAAAGGAATTATGCCTTGTATGGTGACCAGCAGGTATGGAATGTCCCTCCATAATCATTTCTCTGCTTGCAGCACCAACTACGGAAATGGCAAAAAGCTGAAGCAACAGTACAGTGAACAGTGTGGACGCTGTGATGTTTATGCTTTGGACATCAAGCCGATATGGGTTGATACCAGGGGTTCAGGCATTCATTTGGGTTTTGAGGTTGTGCCATGTACCCATCTCTCATGCAGCTTTGTATCACTTACTCAGTTATACAAAAGTTGGCTTCAGCTCTTCTTGTTTACCTAAAAGTTTAAGGCAAAATCTTATTAGTTGAGGTGTAGGTTCGACATAGCAACCCAAGGCATATATCAAAAGTGCACATAATTTATATAATAAATAAACAAAGCAAAAATAGCTGATAAAACTTACAGTATGTAAGAATTTCATTTTATCACTTGTACAATGCCAAGATAACAAACAAATATAATATTTGGGTGATAGGGCAAACTGGCAAAGCCAATTTAAAAACAAATTATCACTAAATACCTTCATCGCAAACATGAATTTCAGAGAACACAGAGGCTGAATGTTTTATATTTCTCAACCTATATCCATCTTCATCATTGCCAGGCAGACCTGGAAAGACATCAGCCAACTCTGTAGCTCTAGCATCGTTTTGTAATTTCATCGTCTTCCCCAAAGAGCTATTCACATTTATACACACGCAGGTTCATCATCACGATGTCTCAGCCGTCTCCTCGATCGATGCTTTGCTCTCCTCTTTCGCTTTATTATTGCCCTTCGTATACCAGAGAAACCTTTTCCTTTCCTAGTCATCTTTATATAGTGTTTTTTCCTTTCTACCCAACCATATTCAGTTAAAATATGGCTTTTTCCTCAACACAAGCACAGAATACTACACAAATTTTCCAATTTTGTCACGCACAAAACATTAAATCAAAACTTTTTGTCAGCGGTTCGATGCTTTGTGACGGACAGACTTTATGTTAGCTTCCTATGATGGCATACTCTCATCTCCAGGGAAACTGGGCTCAGTTTTGACCAAGGTAACAACAAAAAATGCTACCTCACGTTTCCATAGCAACCAGATAATTTTAAATGGCGAGTCTTTTAAAAGCCATATTAAACACGGAAAAAATTCAAATGAAAGCAAACAACATATGCCTATGCTAAATCCAATGTTTGAGGTACCTTTTTCTCTTAAAAATTTTTTTTTCAAAAATTTTCAAATTTTGGGTTAACCCCCGCCTGTACATTTACTATTTAGTTAGGCTTTTACAAAAGACAAATGTTTGGTTGGTAACAATTAAGAACGTTGAAATGGAAATGAAACGTCTTTGCAGCGGTATAATTTCACTGTACCAATGCAATTTTGAATAGTACAATCTGCAGAATTATGCATGTTTCGGCGTTTTACGCCTCGCCAATGCAGCTTGGTACACGTCCAGATACGTGAGAAACTCGTATTTATATATCCCATGAACTATATATATATATATATATATATATATATATATATATATATATATATATATATATATATATATATATATATATATATATATATATATATATATATATATATATATATATAAATTATATAAATATATAAATAAGAAATCAACTAGAGAGGATGAAATTAAATATGCCTATATTTAAAGATTCCCTTCATTAATGAAGAATTTAGACGGCGTGCCCTTGCAGTCAGTGGCGTGCTGGCAGGGGGGGCCGGGGGACCACGGCCCCCCAGCTGGCAATTCTTGGGGGGCGCAAAAATGAAAAGGGGGCGCCGATCCCGCCCTGAATTTTGAAAGTGGGTGGAGAAAAACGCGAAATTCGAAAAAATATAGTTACTTCCGCCAAGAAACTGAAGAGATGTGTTTATAGGCTTATAAACAGACTAAGAATATAGGCGATAAAGCAATATATTAAATTATAGACTATTTTGTCTAACCGTATTTGCTAATTTGCTACCTCACGGCTCACACGAAATCGTTCATATAGAAACATGATCAGTGATCACAC